TTTTCTTTTACGTTTAGAAGTACGACGACTGCTGCGACTACTACCACGTGTTGTACGATTGTTGTTATTAGCGCTACAGCTACTAAGACTAGTACGACCGACATTACTTCTATTGTTGCCACTGCCGTTGCTTCTGATATTATTCCAACCACGACAAATATTCCTATTACTTCAGCTACTACTACTACGACTTCCATTATTACTACTATTAATATTACTACTACTACCACCACCACCCCTACTTCTATTACTTCTATTATCACTACTACTATTATTACTACTACTACTACTACGACTACGACTACTACTGCTAGTACTCTCACTATGCTTGTTGTTCGTATTACTACGACTACTACTACGATTACTACTACTTCTACTATTGCGTCCGCTACGACTACTACCAGTACTATTACTACGACTACTACTACTTTTACTACTACTACTACTACTACCACTACTACCATTACTACTTCTTCTACTACTACTACTACTACAACTACTACTACTACAACGACTCCCGCAGCCACTCTTACGACTACTACGACTACTACTACTACTAGTACGATTAGCACGATCACTATTACAACTACTACCACTACTACGATTATTATTACAACTGCTACTACCATTACTACTACTACTACTACTACTACTACTACTATTACGACCACTACTATTACTACTACGTTTACTACTACTACTACTACTACTACTACGACTACTGCTACTACTTCTACTACTACTTTTACTACCACGACTACTACTACCATTACTACTACTACTACTACTACTACTATAACTACTACTACTACTACTACTACCACTACTACTACTACTACTGCTACTACTACTACTACTTCTACTACTACTACTACTACTACTATTACTACTACTAACTACTACTACTACTACTACTACTACTACTACTACTACTACTACTACTACTACTACTACTACTACTACTACTACTACTACTACTACTACTACTACTACTACTACTACTACTACTACTACTACTACTACTACTACTACTACTACTACTACTACTACTACTACTACTACTACTACTACTACTACTACTACTACTACTACTACTACTACCACTACGACTGGGGTCATACGTCACCTTCGTGTCTACTGAGAGTGAGAAGGGTAAGGGTCCGGGTTTCTTGGTCGGGTTCGGGATCCAAGACAACACATTAGGAATACAACAGGGATGCGACCGGAGTGCACCAGGAGCACATTAGGAGTACAATCGGAGCACACGTAGGAGCATAACAGGAATACAATAGGAAAGCAATAGGAATGCGCTGCAGCAGGAATTCGAATGGAAGAAATATAGATTGCAAGTGGAATGCGCAAAAAGAACATACAATGGGGATACATCAGGAATGCCATGGACTGGCAATAACATCGCACAGACATAGGAATGTATTAGAGATAGAACAGGAAAGCCGGATATTTACCAGGAAGATAACGCAATACGGAATACATTAGGTTGACATTAGGGGTAAAAAATATGATGCAACTTATGAGTTGAATGCACGAGGAACGCAACAGGACAACAGTAGGTATGTAATCGGATTTTCTCGTTTAGAAATTTAACAGACACGACGAAGCGTGTAAAACGTCCTTGTCGTTTCTCTCCTGCTACAGGCTTTTTGCAGGCAGTAGACAGGAAGAGTACACGAAGGTGACTTTTGGCATAGAAGTCTCACAGGCACGAATGTAACGTGTGAAACGTCTCTTGTCGTTTTTTCTCATACAGCCGATATACAGACAGTAGACAGAAAGAGTACACGAAGGTAACTTTACGCGCGACTTGAAGGCGATGTCCGGCCGCCAGAGTGAGGGGGCCGAACGGTCATTCATTGTCTTTGGGTGCGTGGCTGAATTGGGAACTCGTGGTGAGAATTCTGCTTGTTGCGTTGTTGCTGTTGTTGTTGTTGATGTTGGTGTTGTTGTTATTGTTGTCGTTGTTGTTGTTGTTGTTGTTAGTTGTCGTCGTCCCACCCGCGACCCACCCGCGATCCACCCCGCGACCCACCCCGCGACCCACCCCGCGACCCACCCCGCGATTCACCGGCGACCCACCCGCGACCCACCCGCGACCCACCCGCGACCCACCCCGCGACCCACCCGCGACCCACCCGCGACACACCCGCGACCCACCCCGCGACCCACCTGCGACCCACGCCGCGACCAGCCTTCAATGGAGGAAAAACCACCTGGACACGACAACTGTCGTTTATTAAGCGGCCCTGGGCGTTTACTAAACAGCCCTGCCTTGTTCGATTCAGTCCTTGTGTGCGTTCACTAAACGGCTTCGCTTGACCCGCGACCATTATTTCTCCGACGATGACAACGACAGTACCAGCACTACTACATTTACCATTATTACTACGACTACCAATATTGTTATCACTACTACTACTACTACTACTACTACGACTACTACTACTACTACTATTTCTACTACTACTACTACTACTACTACTACTACTACTACTACTACTACTACCACCTACTACTACTACTACTACTACTACTATCACTACTACTACTACTACTACTACTACTACTACTACTACTACTACTACTACCTACTACTACTACTACTACTACTACCACTACTACTTATTTCTACTACTACTACTACTACGACTACTACTACTACTACTACTACTACTACTATAATGACTTCTTCTTCTACCACTACTACTACGACTACCATTACTACGACTACTACTACTACTACTACGACTGCTACTACTACTACGACTACTACTACTACTACTACTACTACTACTACTACTAGTAGTACTAGTACTATTACTACTACTACTACTACTACTACTACGACTGCGACTACTACTACTACTACTACTACTACTACGACTACTACTACGACGATTGCTATTACTATTACTACTACTACAGCTATTACCACTACAACTACTACGGCTACTATTACTGCTACTACTACTATTACTATTACTACTACTGCTACTACTACGACTACTACTACTACTACTACTACTACTACTACTACCTACTACTACTACTACTACTACTACTACTACTTCTACTACTATTACTACTACTACGACTACTACTACTACTACGACTACTACTACTACTACTATTACCTACCTACCTACCTACCTACCTACCTACCTACCTACCTACCTACCTACCTACCTACCTACCTTTACTACTACCTACTACTACTACTACTACTACTACTACTACTACTACTACTACTACGACTACTACTACTTTTACTACTACTACTACAACTACTACTTCTACTACTACTACTATTCTACTACTATTAATACTACTACTGCTACTACTACTACTACTACTACTACTATTACGACTTCTGCTACTACTACGAATATTATTGTTATTACTACTACCACTACTACTACTACCACTACTACTACTACTACTACTATCACTATTACGACTTCTGCTACTACTACGACTACTACTACTACTTCTGCTACTACTACTACTACTACTACTACTTCTACTACTACTACTACTACTACTATTACTACTATTCCTATTACTACGACTACCATTATTATTGCAAGTCATACCGCGACGACTACTATTAGTATTACTTCTGCGACGACGACTTCCATTCCATTACTACTACGACGAATGCTTCTACTGTTTCGGCTTATTATGTCTACTACGACTACTATTACTACTACTACTACTACTACTACTACTACTACTACTACTACTACTACTACTACTACTACTACTGCTACAAACAAGCACTCAGAATCACAGTGCTCGCGCCCGAACCGTGGGCCACTTCCTGGCGCGCTTCCTCGAAAATGGGATGGGCATCCATACGGTCCGCTCTCTGTTTCCAGCGCCTTCAACGGTGACCCCGCTCCAATTTTTTGTGAAATGTGCGGCGGCGAACTTGGCCATTCCCCGGCGCCGCTGGGGAGTAGCATTTTTCGCCGGGAAGTGGCATAGTCCAACGGGAAGTTCTCACAGATCGATCCAGGTCGAACAACGTTGCAAAAAGATCGGGTCTTGGGTTCTGGTCGAGTTTTTATCGCGGTGGTGATTTCTTCGTGGCGTTGGCATTCAGAGGAAGAAGATATACCAAAACCACGACGGGGGGTGCTCCAGCGAGAGGGTTTCGTCCTCGAGATAGGGAGACACCTCGTCCCAAGCGGAGGGCCGGCAAAAGAGCAACGGGGGCGGCTCCGCCGGCGGAAGCCTGTGGAAGAAGACGACCCCACCCCACCAAAGACCCCCCCCGAAAAATTTGGAAGCAAATGGTATCGATATGAAGATATCCGACCATGATATTGTTTTGTCAATGGCTTCTTAGGTTTTCATCGGGCCCCAGGATCATGAAACATGGATCCGGGACGAAAAACTACCCTCGCGGATGGGGTCGGGGATGCTTGGGGCTCGGATTGAGCAAAAACAGAAATCGGCCGAGGTCAGGAGATTTCGAGACCGCATCGCGTCCCTTCCCGCCACGAATTTATTCGCCTCGAGCCCCTGGTCAGCGCCCCTTCCAGGGGATATCCAGGGGGAGTGGTAAGTATCGGCGTCTTTCTGCCCCCCCCAAAGGCCGCCTGCGCAGAGCCCTTCGGAGGCCCGGGCGTATTTCTGGCGTCGGCGCCGGGCCACACCTGGCGTCGCCCCCGGCGCCGCCCCTGGCCCGAGGTGCACACCAGGGGCCAGTGGGCCCCCTGCCCGTGGCGCGCTCGGCGCGCCAGAGGGGGGGGGGAGGTCTGGCGCCGACCCGGGGCATCCGCGCGGAGGTCCGAGAAAAGTTTTGCTTTCAGCATGACGGGCCGATTTCCCAACACCGCAACCAGAGGTAGGAGAGGGAGGGGGAGCAGGAGGAGGAGGAGGAGGAGGAGGAGGAGGAGGAGCAACTCCCCCCCCCTCCCTTCTCCACCGTCCTATCCACGGTGGTGGTGTTGGAACATCGCCGCATCATGTTCTGCCAGGCCTGCGGGCGGGGCCTTCAGTGGGAGCGGGCGCTGTGGCTGCTGGCGGAGATGGCGTCGCTGCGCCGCCGGCCCAACGCGGTCGCGTACAACGAGGCGATGGGCGCCTGCGGGCGCTGCTCGCAGTGGGCGGCGGTGTCGGAGATGTTGCGCGAGATGCGCTCCCGTGAAGTCGCCGGCAGCGCGGTGGTGTACAGCACCGCGCTCAGCGCATACGGTCGGAGCCGGCAGTGGGAGTTGGCGCTGCGGCTGTGGTTCGCGGCTCTCTCGAACGGCCTGCGAGCGGATGTCGCCTTCTGCAACGCCGCGCTGGCCGCGTGCGATCGGGGGCGGCAATGGCAGGCATCGCTGTGCCTGCTAGCCCAGGCAATGTCGTCGGGTATTCCTACCAACGCCCGCACGTTCACGTCGGCCATCAGCGCGGCCGGGAAGGGCGAGCAGTGGAGTCTCGCAGCACGACTGCTGAATCTCTCCGCCACGAAGCGCGTCGTGGCGGACGTCGCCCTGTGCAACGCAGCGATCAGCGCGTGCGAGACGGGGCACCGCTGGGACAGCGCCATCGCTCTGCTGGCAGGCATGCCAGCGAGGCGCCCTGAGGCGGACGTGATCACCTTCAACGCGACGATCAGCGCGTGCGAGAAGGCGCACAGGTGGCAGGCGGCGGTTTGCCTGGTCGAGGAGATGCCGGCCCGGCAGCTGCGGCGAGACACCATCACGCTCAACGCGGTGATGCTGGCGGCGGACAAAGGGCGGCAGTGGCAGCTTGCCCTGGCGCTGGCCCGAGAGGCGCGGGGCTCGGCGCTGCGCCCAGACCAGCGCACGTTCGCTACGGTGGCGAGCGCGTTCGAGCGGGCGCACAGGTGTCAGGAGGAAAAGAAACACACAGACACAATTAATCCTCGATTCCCCAGAAAATATAGGAAAATATGGGAAGTGGGGGGGAATACAGAAACCCAGAAAATATGGGAAAATATTGGGAATATGTTTATTTGTGTGTATTTATTTGTGTGTCCTGGGGCCCCTTCACAGGTGGAGGGACGCCCTGCTCGCCCTGGCGGACATGCGGGCGAGCGGGCTGCGCCCCGACGGGGGGCTGGCCATCGGCGCCCACGACGTGGCCGTCAGCGCCTGCCGCAAGGCGCAGCGGTGGGAGGCCGTGCTCTGCCTGCTGCGCGAGATGAGGGGCTCGGCCCTGGAGGTTCGACTGGGCGTAAGATGATTGGCCTGTTTTCCACCACCACCACCATAAGTTGGAGGGGGAGGGGGTCCTCCTCCTCCTCTTCTTTGTCCTCCTTCTCCTCGTCCTCCTCCTCCTCCCCCCTCCAACTTATGGTGGTGGTGGTGGAAAACACGCCCATCATAAGAGCGACCTTTCGCAGGAGTGACCTCCGATGCGGGCACAGACGGGCCCCCGGAGGGCCGAACACGAGACAGCAGCAGATGCTCGCGCGCCCGGGGTTTGGTCCCCCCGCGGCCCCCCCCCCCACAGGCCGCGCAGCAAGAGGGTCACTCATTATACCCCGGGGCCACTCCTTGCGGGACGGCCGAGAGGTCGACGCCACGTCCCGGGGGGCGGAGCTGGCGGCGCTGCTGGACCGCGGGCACGTGGCGGAGGCGCTGGCGCTCTACCGGGAGGCCCCCCTGCCGCCCTGGGCGGACGTCGAGCTGTGGCCAGACGGGCGGCCCGCGCCCGAGCTGGCGCCCGCCGCGCACCACGGACGCTCCGCGGCGGAAAATGAGATCGCGAGGAAGTCTCTGACGGGGCCCCCTTCCTGTGGGGTCCCCGCCTTGATGCTGGAACTGGAGCGGGGCATCCGAACCATGTCATTGTCGTGACGTTTGGGCTCCTCAGGCCTGGATCTGGAGGAAGCCATGAAGGGGAGCTTCGCATGTAGGTGAATATTGCAGAGGTCTTCAGCGAGGACGCGGGGAGGTGTGAGTGCAAGGTGAACGTTCCAGCCGCCCTGGGGTTGGCGCCCCCGACATCGGAAAAGCTTGCTTGCACAACTGTACCGATCTTCGTCCGCTGAAAAGCAGGCGGACGGGGGGGAGGCTGCTGGCCACCATGGCTGGGTCCGCCTCGAAAACCGCGTGAGAAAGCACTCCTGGCCCTGGGGCAGTCTTCGGGCCCCAGTGCCGTCAGCAGGCACGATCCAAGATGAAAGCCCGGCCCTGGGGAAGGGGTCGGGATTTTTCTTGTCAGGCAGGCCTAGGACGAGGATATCTCGTTCCAGAGCGTTCTCGAGCGCTCTCAGAGCGTTGGGGCGCTCTGAAATGACTGCGGCGCCCGAGACATCCTCCAGGGCCGCCGGATCTCAGAGAATCGCCATTCATCGTCATCCGGATGCATTGTCATCCAGCATTCGTCTTTTCTGCGGACCCGTATCGAAAGGAACACAGCAAACGAGGGAAACATGAGTCCTCCCGTAGGTGCAGCCGAGACCGACGGGCCTGCCAACCCCTACCAACCCTGCAAGGGTCAAGGGCGGCTCGTGCCGTCTGACATCCTCAGCTTCTGTGACGCATGCCGCGTGTCCTTTGGCTTGGCCTCCGAGGCGCAAGAGTGAATGTGAGGAGGAATTGTCTTGGCGAGCAACCCAACCATATGCAGTTGTGGGTGCCGTGTTGTGGGTCCATCTTTCCACAGGTCTTCTTCTGGGCCCACCAACTCGGGATGTGATGGCTCCCTCTCGGCACGTATCCACGCCCGACAGGTTCCCTCTCGGGGCCAACAGGTTCCCTCTCCCTTTCCCTCTCGTCCTCCTCCTCCTCTTCCTCCTCCTCCTCCTCCTCATCATCATCCTCCTCCTCCTCCTACGGTGTGCCATGGAGCTCATTACGGGGCCGCGGTTCTCGTGAGGGGTGTGCCGAAATGGAAGCGGCGCCGCCTCGCAACCCTTGCCACTGCAGTCTTCTGTGGAGCGCCCTACGGGGCCACGATCCGCGTGAGATGTGTATCGAAATGGGCGCGGCGCCGGCATGCAACCCCTGCCACTGGGGCCTTCTGTGGAGCTCCCTACGGGGCCACGATCCTCGTGAGCGGTGTACCGAAATGGGTGCGGTGCCGCCGTGCACCCCCTGCCACTGGAGCCTTCTGTGGAGCTCCCTACGGGGCCACGATCCTCGTGAGAGGTGTGCCATATTGGTGATGCTGCTGATGATGATGATGATGATGATGACGACGACGACGATGACGATTATGATGATGATGATGATGATTATGATGATGATGATGCTGATGATGATGATGATGACGATGACGATGATGATGATGATGCTGATGATGATGATGAGTATGATTATGATGATGATGATTATGATGATGATGATGATGATGATGATGATGATGATGATGATGATGATGATGATGATGGTGATGGTGGTGGTGGTGGTGGTGAGGAGGAGGAGGAGAAGGAGGAGGAGGATGGTGGTGGTGATGATGATGCTGATGATGACGATGATGATGATGATGATGATGATGATGATGATGTTGATGCTGCTGATGATAATGGTGGTGATGATGATGATGATAGTGGTGATGGTGATGGTGATGGTGGTAATGATGACGAGTTCAATGATGATGAGGTTGTTGTTGTTGCTGCGGTTGATGCTTATGGCGATGATGTTGGTGATGATGCTTGTGCTGATGCTGATGATTATGATGATGCGGATTCTGATTATGCTGATTATGATGATTATGCTGATTATTCGATGATTATGATGATGCTGATGATGATGAGACTGATGGTGATGGCGAGGAGAAGGAGGAGGAGGATGGTGGTGGTGATGGTGATGATGGTGATGAGTGCGGAGAGCAGACGCAGGGAAGAGAAGAGGAGGAGGGTCAGGAGGAAGAAGGAGGAGGAGGAGGAGGGACGCGGGGCGATGTCTTTTCAAAACGAGGACCTACGTAACACAACTGGATGGTTGGGAAAACACACAGACACAAATCATCGTCGATTACCAAGAAAAATATTGAGCATATGGGAAATGAGGGGAAGAGGAAACTCCAGAACATATAGCAGGGCCGCACATACCTCTGGATTGCTGGAGCGCATTCCGGTCGGGGCTAGGACGAGGATGAATCCGTTCCAGAACGTTCCAGAACTCTCTCAGAGCGTTCCCGAACGCTCTGAGAAGGCCTCGGCGTCCGATACATCCTCCAGAGCCGCCAGATCTCAAATATTCTCGAATTACTCTCACGCGATGTTATCCTCGTCCTGGCTTCGTCTTAGCATTTTGCGCAATTCGCTTCAGGACGTCATCCCACGATTGTGCCAGAGACCTTCCCTCCAGGAAAATTTCTTTCAGAGGAGGAAGAGATACCCATACCACTACCCTTCCCTCGTTTCCCCACTTCGTGGCCTCTTGGGAGGCCCTTGTCGCCACCGCTGCATTCGCCTCGAAATCCTGGTCATGATGCACTCAAGGAGAGGTCCGGGGAGTAGCGGTATGGGTACCTTTTGGTTTCCCCAAAAAGAGCCTGTTGCGTCGACACGGTTGTCGCGACCGGGCTCCGACCCTTCTGAGGCGCTCTGGCTCCGACCACGCATCCTCGGCTCATCTCTGTCCCCTCTCCTGAGGGGGCCCTCCCTGCCAACTTTTGCACTGGCTGGCACGCACGAGTGCCAGCGAGCCCCCCCGCGGGTCCGACCATGGAATGCGCAGACGACCCATCGCTTTGCGTGGAGAGCGATTCGCACACGCTGGCATCGCTCGGACGTGTGCCTGTCTGCTCGGCGAGGAGCATCGATGAGCAGCTTGGCCCATCGTTCGAGAAAGACGCGAAACTGACTGAAACATGCCCGGGGAATGGACGTCCGAGCGATGGCAAGTCACCAATCTTGAGGCTAGGGCGAAGGAGCCTCACATGCCTCTTGGTGCCAGCGCGCAGTCAAGATCAGCTGCGAGAACTCATCACCATTGGTGAGGTGATGGCGTGGACGCCTCGCGAAAGATCAGCGAGCCCAGACCCTGAGCAAGCATGAGGAGGAGCAGGTCAAGAGGAGGATGAGGAGGGGGTGATGGAGGGCGGAGGAGGAGGCAGGATAGGGGGAGGGAGGGAGGGAGGGAGAGAGAGAGGGGGGAGAGGGAGCAGGTTGACGACCTGTACGAAGAGGCCACCGCTGCGGCGCTCTCGCTAGCCGCTTGCTCAGGGAGCGACGGCGGGCGGCCGAGCGCTCGCGGGAGGGAGGCCCCCGCCTCTGCCTCCTGCTCCCGCTGCTGCGGCTGCCCTCTGCTGCGCTACACGTTTCTTCGGGCTGCCCGTCAGATGGACTCAAAAGGGGGGCCGAGAGCACTGCCCTGCAGTCAACCCGCAGAGCAAGGATGAGCGACGTTCCGAGGAGTGAGAGGTGAGGAGTGCAGAGTGAGGAATCAGGAGTGAAGAGGAGGAGGAGGAGCAGGAGGAGGAGGAGGAGGAGGAGGAGGAGGGGGGGAGAGGAGAGGAGGAGGAGAGGAGAGGAGGAGAGGAGAGGAGGGAGAGGAGAGGAGAGGAGGAGAGAGGAGAGGAGGAGGAGGAGAGGGAGGAGGATGAGGAGGAGGATGCGGAGGAGGAGGAGGAGGAGGAGGAGGAGGAGGAGGAGAGAGGAGAAGGTGAAGAAGTGCTGTCTGAGCAACGGCCGCTCCCGGGGGAGGCCCGTGCAGGGCATTGCCAGCTTGCACCGGCTTCCCTGGGCAGGAGGAGGAGTGGTGCTAGGCGGAGAGTAGGAGCAGGTGGACGACGAGGGCGAAGGCGAGGAGGAGGAGGAGGAGGAGGGTGAGCAGGGCAAGCTAGGTGCGCTCGCGCCATATCTGACGTCCTACCCCTCCCTCTCATCCTTTACCATGGCGTAGGTATCCTTTCTATTCGCTCAGTCGTGTGTCGAGCAGGGCAATCATTCCGAGAGGGTGCGCGATGCATCGTAGAGCACGGCATAGCAGGGCGTAGAAGAGCACGGCACGGCATAGTATGTCATAGCATGGCGTGGCGTTGCGTAGTGAAGAATTGCATCATAAACCCTTGCAACACAAAATGGCATCGCACAGCGGCACAGAACAGAACCTGGCAAAGCATGACGTTGAAGATCAAAGCGTAGTATGGCATGGCATGGCGTGGCACTGCGTAGTCAAGCACTGCATATCCTGGTATAGCAGCTGAAGACATGGCATCGCACAGCGGAACATCACATAGCATTGCATTGCATGCCGTGGCATGGCACTGGAAATAATGACGCCAGCGCTGCAGCGGGAGCTCGATTCGGAACGAGCGGAAGCGCTGCAATGAGGCCAGCGCTGCAGCGGGAGCACAATTTGGAACGAGCGGAAGCCCGAAAATGAGGCAAGCGCTTTAGCGGGAGCAGCATCTTGAAGAACAGCCCGAGCGAAACCTCAACTCCCAGGAAGCTTGTGCGCAACAAAAAGTACGCGGAGGGGGGGGCATCTTCCGGACGCAATCAGGGGAGAGAGGAGAGTAGTATTCACATTGTGCAACTGCCGAGCAGGATTGAGGAGGGAGGAGGCGGCGGCGAGGAGGGAGGAGGGAGGAGGGCGGCCTGTCGCACGGGCGCTGGGCCCACGAGGAGGTGTCTTAGACGGGTAAGCCAGTCGGGGGGGAGAGCAGCGGAGGAGGAACAGGAGGAGGAGGAGGAGGAGGAGAATGAGGACCAGCGAGTGCAGACCCAAGACTCATCAACGATGTTGAGATACACCTTCCCTCCAAGGTCCCGCTTCATGGGCCCCTACGTGGGGTCATT